GGTCCAGACAGCTGGAGGTTTTGCTGGGCTGACTGTGCCCATGCTGTGCATGCAGTGAATGCATTGTCCTGGGTTTTTTTCCCCCCAAATACAAAATACTGCATCCAAACCCTTTTTTACCTCTCTAGTGGTCTTTTCCCCATCTGTGTAGTGAGAGGCTGCTTATCATTAAGGCTTTAGGAATTGAGCATTTTTATTTGCATTGTCAAGGTACGAAAGTTGCCCTTTATGACTTTGCTTTTGGAGTGGTGCTTTCTTTCTGCTTTGTTAATTACTTCAACATTTTGATTTTCGGTTCGGAGGGGGATTGGCTCTTCTCTTGTTGAGGGTTAGGATGGCTTCAGAAATGTTTCTGGATTCCTTCTCCACCCCTCCAAATGTAATTTCCTGTTGTTTTACGTTGAAAAGTTGTCTTACTGGATGTCTGAGGTTTGAACTGTAGTAGCAATGCAAAGCTGCCTCTAATGATTTAATGTGATTAGAAGATGAATGCATATCTCCAGCTGGTCATTTTCTGGTTTTGCTCTTCAAAAGTACTTCTCTGCCTCTTAATTCATTAAATAACACATGAAAGAACGGTGGTGAGGTGGAGCACAAGTAGTCTTTGTAGCGTACATACCCCTTCCACAGCACCAAACGTGCAAGGAACTTCAGTATTTGGAGGAGGAGGAGTTAGCACAAATGCCAGCTTTCCTTTTCAAACGAAGGAAAGTGGCAGATGCTGTGATTGCGTGTAACTGCTCAGAACTCCTTGCGACGGCCCGGCGTTGCTGCCTGGAGTAGCTCTGTGTGCCGGTGCCGTTCCTGCTGCTCTCCCATCCCACGTGCACCGGAGTTTGAATGCCGGGGGGCACGCAGGAGCTGCAAGCTGAGCAAACGTCACGTCAGAAGCGTTACGGTGCGCCAGCGTTCAGGCTGGAAAACGGACGTTAGCGGGCGTCGCGCGTAACGGTGCTGCTGTGTCTTCTGTGTCGGTAGATAAAGTGGACTGGTGTCACAGCGGCATGGGCAGCCACATGATCCACAGGCCCATGTCTGATCCCGGGGTGTTCTCGCACCAAGCCATGGAGAGGGACAGCACGGGAATCGTAACGCCTTCCGGTACATTCCATCAGCCTGTTCCTGCAGGATACATGGACTTCCCAAAAGTCGGGGTAATGGCCTGCCGGGACTCGATGCGCGCGGTACCGCTCCGTTTCCGTGGCAGTGCGCGAGGCGGGTGAGCAGCGCGGAGGTGTCGTTCGCTGTGGGCTTGAGCGTGCTTAAGCTAAAACGCTCACCAGCCCTCACGGTATTGCAGAAGCCTAGATCTAACAAAAAATAACTTGTCCATGATGTAATAAATACATGCGCAGAAGGGTTTTTCTTGAATTCAGGCGCTTCATTACTGCTTTCAGACAGAGAATTTCTTTAACGTGGTCCCCTTCTCTCGTTCTGTATGTACAACAGTAGCAGTGTTTGTGAATACGTACTGATTCTTGCTTTTTTCTCTCCCTAAGGGTATGCCTTTTTCTGTGTATGGGAATGCAATGATTCCTCCTGTAGCCCCCATCACAGATGGTACTGGAGGCCCTATATTTAATGGGCCTCATGCTGCTGACCCATCTTGGAACTCGCTGATAAAGATGGTTTCAAATTCCACAGAAAATAATGGGCCTCAGACGGTAACTTTTCAATTTTTATACTCCCAATTTTGTTTTAACTGAAGGAACGGTGTAGTGAAGACAAGATCCTAGCTGGCAGAAAATACAAAAGCACAGTGTAGCGTTTGTTGGTTTTGCTCGTGCCTCTGAGCAGCCGATACAGCCCCGCTGCTCACTGCAGCACCAAGTGCTGTGTGTGCTTACTGACAGCTTCAGAACGTTACTCATCTCTCCAAAAATAAGTGTCAGTTGTCCTGAGAAGTCATCGGCATCACTGAGGTCATGCAGCTCAAAGGAGTGTGCTGTAGGTCCTGCTGTGAACACACTGGTGCTCGAGAACTGGGAAGCTGTCTTCCAGCTGAGCTCGGAGAAGCTGCCGGTGTAATCAAATCGACAGCGGGTTAATTACTGCAGGTCAGCGTTTTTTTGATGTGTGGTAGGTAAGTCTGGATACCAAAGATAGTTTTGTACCATATATTTTATTCAAAATGATCATGATTTCTGGCTGTGCAGGTCTGCAGCTGGGAAAACACACTCAATTTGCTGTTGTGAGATAAGCCATTTATTTGCTGTTTTGCATAAGCTTTCCCTTCCCAGAAAGGAAAAGCAGCATGAGGTCTGGGGGGTTGTTGCTGGACTCGGAAAGGTGTGATTGTCCTCACTGTGTTAGGAGCTCACATAGGAGGGGAGTAAGGGGCTCTCCTGTCTGCTGTGCGCTGAGCTTGCCTGGGTTATAGGCTTGTCCACTCAATATAATTTAGGGGAACATAATCCTTATACATAAATTTCTTGTTTGTACTCAGCCAGCAACTGACATTATAATGGATCATCAGTAGCTCTTGCTATGTTATATCCTGTGTTTATTTTTAACTATACATTGAGCTCTGTTACTAAGATATTTCTGGACTTCATTTGCTTAGGAATCATGCAAGCTGCAGGCAGAGCTCCCAGCTCTGGCAGGCCATAGGTGTGTAGAAGAAGAGGCCGTCTGTTTGGCCACAGTTCAGGTGCTGCTCCGAAGTGGCTCATGACCATCATAAGGGGACTTCTGGTTTAGTGAGAAAAGTTTGTCCCGCAGAGAAGGCTTTACTTTGCATACGTGGGTTTCCCCAGAGCCGAGGGTGTTGATGGGCACTGGGCAGGAAATAAGGTGCCAGAAGTCAAGTTCCTGATTGTCTGAGCTTCCAAAGGTGGAGAGGACAGACTCCTGCTCCGAAGGCAGGAGGTCTTCAGGCACTGTGCTTGCAAATAGTTTTGCACATGTGCAGAGTCCTGTTAATTCTCCGTGACAGCGGACCTGGCATGTTTAGAAGGACTAGTTATTTCCCTGGGGATGCTTTTTTCCTGTGTAACAGCAAAATATGTTACATCGGTGTTGCTATGATGGAGGGAGTAGTGGGCATAAATAGGGTTGATTTCCCTCTTTGGTTTTGCTACAAAGGAGAGCAGTCAGGCTGGGTGCAGGTACTTGTTTCCACCAAGTAGAAAGGAAGAGGAAGATGGCCCCTTTGGCCAAGGTGAAAAAGTACAGGCAGAAAGATGAAACCCCTGTTTCCCTCTTCTCACCTGAATCGCAGCGGGCTAAAAGAAGTGCTGAAAGGAACCTGGTGTAGTTTGCCTGCTTGCTGTGTTGTCTGGCGTGGGGCTGTTCTGGGGCGCGGTGCAGTGTGCCTGTGATGCCTGAGCTGCTCTGAGCCGCCCCGAAGCACGGTGCTAAATGAAGCTCTCTCTTCCAGGTGTGGACTGGAACTTGGACACCTCACATGAACAGCGTGCATATGAACCAGCTCGGCTGAGTGGGATCAACTGCTAGCCTCGAGATTCCTTTCTTGCAGAGGAACACACGAATGGCAGAAACAGTTTATGTGCTCCCAGATCATTCTACTGATGTGCTTGACTGAAGTGTGTAGGCTTTTTGCAGAAGAACTTACTAACTGACCTTTTTCTGTGAACATTGTGACCGCCCATTCCCCACCATCATACGTTTCAACTTAGTTAGCCTTTATTCTTTCCTTTCCTTTTTTTTTTTCCTGTTTTTTTTTTTTTTGACATAACTTTCTGTTGAAGCTGTTCTTTGGCTGGTTGGTTTTAGTACTGTAAACTGCTTCTGAGCAAACACAGAAATTTAGCAAAATTATGTAAACTTGATCCTGAAGTTTTAGAATGGCAAATAAATGTACAATTGTTTACATAACAAATGGCTAAGCAGAAAGTAAATTTCAATATGTCAGTATAGAGGCTCTACTTTATGTAGACTTAAATTAATGTGAGATATGTACCTTCATATTCAGAAATCTGGATGTTTCCTTCATACATTAAACTATTAATAAGCATAACTTTTCTACTTGTGTAATTTAAGTACACGATAAAAAAGTGGGCATTATCAGAGGGCCTTTTCCAGATGTGTGTTGGACTTTTTGTGGAGCCATACATCAGTTGTAACCAGACATTCAGAGTTTCTGCTTTCCTCCTGTGAAAGGCTTTTCAGCAAAAGGCGCCCGAGAACACAGCCTTTTGGCCCGTTCACAGTCGTCTCCACACTGAACTCCCCTGCTTGCCCAGTAAATGGGGGGTAAATGTATCGTGCTGCGGCGTCTATTAAAAATCATTCTGGCGGTTGGGTTGGCGCAGCAAGGTCCGTTCTGTTCCACAAATGCTCCCAGAGCTTCTGTTCCTCCGGTTCCTTCCCTTGCCCGCAGCAATCCTGTCAGAACAGAGATCCTTGTGCTCATCAGTTCAAGAATGAGACTCTGAACCTGCAGTTTTAGCAGAGCTTCCCTGATGAAAACCGGCTCCAGAGGAAGGCTTATTTCGGAGTAAGTGGCTTTGTTCCAGTAGCTGATGTCTTGCTCCGAGCTGGGTCGCTGCCCTGTGAAGGTTTAGTTGCAGAAGTTCAAGCGAGAATTTCCTTATGGTCACGGCCAGGAGCTGTCTCCTCCTCCGCTTGCGGGTGCTCGGGGTGCGTGGCGGTGCCGGGAGGCGAGGCCTCGGGGTCGGGTGAGGCAGGGCTCAGCCGGCAGTGACACGCTCCGGGCGCGTCCCCGTGCGGGTGATCCCACGTAGGTCTGCAAGTCCGAGCTGTTCCTGTGCAGCACCGCGAGGGCTGGCGTGATCCGTTGGTGGTGGCTCCGTGTGGAGGAAGGAAAGCGTGTTTCGTCCTTGCCGTCTCACTTGGAGTCAGCCCTGCTCTGGTAAGTTATGATCCTGAGAGGGACGATCTGGAGGGGAAATGCCCGGGATGAGGTAAATGGCTGGCATTTAGGAAGTGCTATTTTGTACCTATTACGGTACTCCTTTGAAAGCCAGAAGAAATAAAAACGCTTGCGTGGAGAAACCTGCTGCCCGTTAGACCCTGTGATGCCTCGGAAGGTTTGTGCATCCCGGTGCCTGTATCCATGCCCGGAGGTGACGCTCGGAACAAAAGTACGCTCCTTTTCCCGGCTGTCGGATCACCTGAAACGCATCGTGTAAGAACTGGTTGTACCAAAATGGATGCCAGACTGAGGGAGTGCTGAAAAAAAAACCGATTGATACGCCATTTCTTACTGTGAGTGGGGAGCGGTGCCCTCCCTGTCCTCTGTGTCACCTGTGGCCCTCGCTGCAGAGTTTTTGCCTCACGCTTCATTGCTGTTGAGGATTATTTGCGTTGATTTTCTGCAGTAATCCCGCTGAGGAATACTGTGGAGTGCCCAATACATCCACGAGTTCGGTGGGTCGAAAGAACAGTGTTTCTGACCCATAGTTTGTTGGCTTGGGAAACCACCCCATGCCCTGGGGCGCGGCGGGGGGAAGGCCCGGACACCAGTGGGTGGCTTTTTCCTCAGACATTTTTTTTTTTTTCTTAAGGGTGGTTTTTTCCTCAGACACTTTTTTTTTTTTCTTAATAGTCCAGTTACGATGCTTTTTTCTGACCAACCTTGGAGGCTGAAGGAGAAGGGAAGTCGGCGGAGCCTGTGCTTTCCCGTGAGGGTCCTGGCCGCTACTGAGGAGCCGTTAACTGCCCTTAGTCAAGATGGCCGCTACTGAGTAGCTGTTAACTGCCCTTAGTCAAGATGGCCGCTACTGAGGAGC